AACAAAAATAAAAGAAACTAGGATCCTGGAGAGCTTACACCTTTGCCATCATAGGATGTTACTCCAAAAGTTTCAGCCCCCAGGGTCCTTATTATTGAAAATTTAAGTAAATAACAAAGTTTAATATATAGATATAAAAGAAACTTAGAAGAACACAATAAAATAAATTGAGGTGGTATCAGTAAAGCAAATGAAAGACTTCAAAAATAAAAGAAAAACTGCAAAAATAGAAGACTGTGACTCTAAAATAAATAAATAAATAAATAAATATTGTCTCATCAGCTATGCCGCCCCCACGCTGTGGTTTCTGCAGGAACTACACTTGCATTTTTCCCCCCTCCATGTGTCAATGAATGTTCTAAACTGGTTGAGGGTGGAAAGTTCCCTAGCATGATCTGGTAAAGAGTTCCACAACGTAGCAGCCGCATAGCTGAAAGACTGTTTTCCATACCTAGTAGTTCTTGGCCTAGGTAGTTCCAGAGTCTTTTGGTACCTAAAATTGTATGTGGAATTTCTCTGTTGAACTAAATCTTGCAGGAACAATGGGCTTTGCTTATTTACAATTTTGAAGACTTCGAGGGCCATGGCTCTCATACGCCTGATTTTCAGTGAAGGGAGGTTTGATTTTAGTAGTAGCTGGTCATAACTGCTTGTATAGTCATTATATATAAATCTTAGTGCTCGCTCTTGAATTTTTTCTATTTTTTTTACAATTCTGTTCACTACTAAAATGCCACACCAGAGGGCAATAACTAAAGTTGGACATTATAAAGGAATGATAGATGGTAAGTTTACCCAGTTTACAGAGATGTTTCCCGACACATTTTAACACATTTAACTGTCGAGCTGCTTTCTTACAAATATTTGAAATATGAGAATTGAAGTTTAAGTTAAAATCAAAAGTAACACCAAGCAGTTTCACTTCTTCCTCACAGGCAAGAGTTGTACCATTTAAGTTTAAAGTAATGTTTTTATCATGCATCTTTTTCCCCAGAGCTATTGCTTGAAATTTTTCTGGGTTTGCCTGCATTTTATTAACTGAAAACCAGTCGATGAGAGTACCACTTTTCTTTTCAAGTGTAGTAATAACATTTTTTAAGATAGGATCTGATTTGGATAAGGTGTTGTCATCTGCATAGTTGTACAAGTCTGAATTTTTTACAAAAAAGAAAATGTCATTAATAAAAATATTAAAAATAACTGGTCCAAGAATTGATCCTTGAGGTACACCTTTAAAGATATCCAGTAAGGTGCTTATATTTTGACTAATTTTGACACATTGTCTTCTGCAAGATAAATATTTCTTTATCAGATCTACCGCAGGTGGGGAGAGACCATAAGTTTTTAGCTTGAGCAGGACAAGATCATGAGGGAGACAATCAAACGCCTTGGATAAGTCCATTAAAATAGCAGCAACATATTTATTTTCATCTAAAGCTCTCTTCCAATCCTCAGTGATTCTTAATAGGGTAGATTGGCAATCATACCCTGATCTAAATGCTGCTAAATAAGGGTTAAAAATTTTCTCAAAATAATTTGATAGCTGAGTGTTGATTGCATTTTCAAAGATCTTAGATAAAGCTGGGAGGACGCTAACTGGTCTGTAGTTTCCCTTATCTAGTACACTGTTCTTCTTGTGAATAGGGACTACCTGGGCTATCTTTAGAGAATCTGGAAAAACTGACGATGACAACGACATATTTACAAGTTTGGTCAAGGGTCTGGTAATAACAGGCTTCGCGTAATGCAGTATCTTTGGGGAAATCCCGTCTATGCCTGTAGCTTTTCTGACATTGATCTTACTAATTTGTTTACATATAAATTCCTCATCTATAGATTTAAATTGAAAAGATTGATCACAAAGTTGGGGTAAGTTGTCCCTAATTGCCTTAACACTTGGGTGATTATCATCAATGCATATGTTTGAATTTCCTATGTTTTTGGCCACATTAACAAAGAAATCATTAAAAATTTCTGTTATTTTGGATTGGTCAGTTTCTAAAACATCATTTTCTAACAATACTGTATCTTTCTGCGCACAGCTGCCTTCATTTGTTAAGAAAGGCTTAATAGTAGGCCAGAAGTCTTTTGATTTCGGACCTCCTGTACATCTTTCAAGAAAGTAATTATTTACTTATTTATTTTTTAATTTTGTAACATAGTTTCTTTGAACTCTATAAGCTTCCCAGTTCTTACTTGACCTACAAGCTTGGTATTTGTTGTGTAGCATTTTTTTCTTAAAGATAGCTTTGCGTAATTCTTTATTCATGCATGGGACCTGGTTGGGTTTTATTTTTCTCATTTTCATTGGCGCATGTTTGTCTGTAATGGCTACAAACTTGTTGGTAAAATCAGAAAAAGCTAAGTTGATATCATTGTGGTCCTCATAGTAGAAGTCCACCTGATATAAAAGATTCCTCATCAAAATTTTTAAAAGTACGACAACTCTTCCATTTGCACTCCAGCTGTTTGATGTTACATTTAAACTGAACACCTATAAAATTATGTACATCACTGAGCCCACAACTGAAATTGCATATCTTGTTAAATTTAGTATCATCCTTGGTCAAGCAAATATCAAGCAGACTTGGTTTAGCTATTCTGGTGAAACAAGTTGGACCTTTAACTAGATTGGTAAAATCAAAAATATCACAGATGTCTAGTAAAGGGGCACTTTTATCCTTATCTAGCATATCAAAATTCATATCTCCAATAAACATGATATTATCGTATTTTGTGATAACTTTATCCACTGTTTTACAAAAATCGTCATAGAAAGTAGCATTTTGAACATTTGGTGGTTTATATACACCAGATAAAAACCATTTTTGACTATCAACTATTATTTCCAGGCCTATTGATTCTATTATCTCAAACTCAAGTTGCTTTTTCCTATCACCAGCAATATCTGATCGTAAATAAGCTATAATTCCACCCCCATATACATTACATGTGTGTGAAAGAGTTATCTCCCGTAGTGGAAGTCTTCATATAAAAAAGGGGGAAATGATATTGCAATGTGTCAGGGTCGCCAAGAAGTGAAGAACAATGTGACTTCGGCGATTTTTCAAACATTTTGTGCCGTGATGGTCAGGTACTTTATTTGTATGACTGTATTAAGGATCTATCACACTATTTGCTCTTGATTAAAGCTCCGACCGTGCCCGTATCAGGATGTATGGAAAACGTTATGGATCTACTGGAGGCAATCGTTCGATTGCGAAATGGAGTTTTTTTCCCCTTGACCATGTTGATAGTAGTACATTTAAAGTTATGAATCTGTCAAAGACATGCAGATAATTTGGGGTTAAAAATGATGAAAATCCTATCCTGAAGTTAACGAAGAAAGCAAAGCCAAACCAGTCCGAGGGGCTACTCTCATTATTAAATGTTATTAGCAGTACCTTCTGTAAAGAATACTGGTTGAAAACAAGAGAGACAAATCAATACAGTTGGATCAGGAAGGCCAATATAGAATTTGTAATGGAAGTTGAAATAATGAATGAAGCTGTTCTTAATTTTACAAAATATAGTGCTTATCTTGCTATTGGGGGAGGGGGTACTGTAAAAGTCTACAATCTTAAACTCTAATTAGGAACAGTAATGTTGATGCTTTCATATGTGTGTACAACTGTAAATGTATACTTTTTGAAATAAATTAAATGTAAAACAGTTGTTGGGGAAAAATTAAATTAGAACTGCAAATAGTGTGCCTCTTAAAGATACTCTGAACCAGGGAGTGTGAAAGTGGTTTTTGAAGAAGTAATAGGTAGTTTTTTTTATTCAAATTTATCCAGGGACTGTTTCTATAAGTTATTTTATCACACTTATATTTTTCTATTATGTAAAATTTCAATATTAAAAAAAAAAAAAAAAAAAAAAAAAAAAAAAAAAAAAAAAAACATTCAAAATGAATACACAGTTTTTCAAAATGATGATATTTTAAACAGATAATGGGTCATGATAATATGAATTCATAGCAGCAGGTTTATACTGATTATTTTAGGATGTGTATGTGTCAAGATATAAATAATTTACAATTGATTAACTTTCACTTCTTGTAGCAACATTTGTCAGTGTGCAGAGGAGTTTTTTTTTTTTTTTTTTTTTTTTTTTTTTTTATCCCATTGAATTAGAAGAGAAATGTCCTGATCCAGATTTATATGGTAGAGTATCAAACTTCATGCACAATCTTTGATCAAAAGCTCACTTGATAATGCATTTTAATACTGGAACACATCTATCCTTCTACATCATTAATATTTATAGGAAGTAATCCAAAAAAATTATCTTAAAGTCTGATGTCAAGAAAAACAATAATCAAAAGCTCTTTAGAGCTTTTGAATGACACAAAATGTCATACAGCCAGTTAGTTTTGACTGACTTTTTTGGTAGCTAAAGAGTTGATTTTTGGTAGGCTCTTGATATTGATTCATTTTTCTACAGATCAAGTGTAAGCGTAAATGCTGAATGACCATTTTACATGAAAATTATTGCACGTATACTTAAAATTCTAATTTTATTATCATTTTTTTCCAAAAACTTTTTTTCCTGATGTTCTTGTAGATCCAAAGTTGAAAATTCTCAAAGTGGACCTAAAACTACAATGTACATACATACAATCAATCAATCAAAAGTTGACAACTGATAACTGATAACTGATAAATTCATGTGATGAAATGTTTCATTTATCTGCTCTCACAAAATATTGTCAAAAGATTGAAGTATAAACCTTTTCGTGCTAACTTTCGCGCATGCGTATAACTACTTCCGCGAGGAAAGCGTCTTTGACAACATAATGGCTTCGCGCGACAATTTAAAGAAGGTAAACAAATCAGCGCTACAGAAAATGTGCAAAGACATTGGTTTTGACTTTAAAGGAAAAAAGAAAGAAGAGTTGGTGGATTTTCTGTTTACAACCGGTGTCCCAGCCCAGCACATTACCCAAGTAGTTGACCAACAGAGTAATCTTACGGGCATGTTAGATGATCAGGTGCAAGTTTGTAACAGTATCCTGCCCCCATTTAATAAAACCAGCTATACCACTGTACAAAATTCTCAGCTTCCTAGTCCAAGTTTTGCATCCATTTACAATTTTATGGTTACTAGAGCCCGTGCATTATGTGCCGACAGAGGTGTCCAAAACTTCAAAGGAATGGACAGAGCTGTCCGACACTTTGAAGCTGGAGATGTGCAGGATATACAAATCTCACAGGTACACAATCGTAATTTCCTGTAATATTAGATAATGCTTCCATAATTTTTTTTTTAATAATCCATTTTTAACAGTAGCAAACAATCAAATATAACATACTTCTTTTAATCATCTGCAAAACCATTTCTCAGATATTTTAGATATAGAATTCTTCCTGAATTATATACATAACTTAAATAAGACTTCAAAATATTTACAGATAAATGGTGAAATTGTGTACATAAAGGCTTCATGTCTTGCATCGATGAAGAAGGACAAATACACTGTGTACTTGTGCCTAACTGTAAACAGCAAAGAAACTTCTGTGCAATATGCTTATTGTCAGTGTCCCATAGGGTATGAAATTTTCAACAAAATTTAAACTTTATGTACTTTAAATTTTTTATATCTGTGAATTTAAGATGTTAAAGTCAATATGAATTTAATTGGTACCATCTGTTTACCTTTGTGTGCATCAACACTATTTTAAACAGATCATTATCTGCCAAAGATATATAATTATGATTGTGCCTTATCATCACACATACATTAAGTACTTGGTAACTTCAACTTGTGGAAATTGATTTATAAGTTTCATCTCTTTTGCCATATACAGGTTAGCTCAGTCTTGCAGCCACATTGGAGGATTGTTGTTTGCATTAAATGGCAAGCATCGCTTAAAGTGTCCTTGTGGTGACGAGAGCTGTACTTCACAACTATGCCAATAGGTTGTTCCCAGAAACCCTAAACAAAGTCTCAAGCTTATAAGTGAACTGTCCTTTGCCAAACCTCAGCTGGAATCCGAACCGGAAAGAGTAACCTCAATCGACTTTGATCCACGGCATCCGCAAGACAGATGCCTGGATATGAAATATACTCTGAACCAACTTAAAGAGCTCAAAAAAGTCTTTCCCAACACTGGTATATATATATATATATATATATATATATATATATATATATATATATATATATATATATATATATATATATATATATATATATATATATATATATATATATATATATTTACAACATTATTTTACAATTGTAATGTAAAATTTTGCACCTTATGGAACTACACATCTTTATTCAATTAATTATCATTAGTGCATTCACTAGTCAAATATGAAATTTTGATTGCATTTTTATTATGTTCATTAATTTAGCCATGCAATTACTCTATGTTTACAAAAAAAGGAAAAATTAAAAGAAATGAAATTTCACATTTGACATTATAAAGTTCATTATATTTTAGGATTAACACACCTCTGGAATATACCAGATGATGTCCCAGATGTAGCTGAGGAAGTTACAATAAGTACTGAAGTTGATCCTCGTACACTAGAAATGGAAAAACTAGTGTTCAAACAAGGAAATGGTATGTACTTATTTACTAGTTCATATATTTTCACATAATTTTTCCCTGTCAAATATTTAAAGGTTGTGAAGTAACATAGACATATATTATAGAAACCCTTGGAGCACTTAATACCTATTTAAGATTTATATAGTTACTTTATATATAAATTGCAACAACTTATATTTTTGTCAATGTTTTCAGTACCTCCCCTCACCATAGAAAATGACTTGGTGCAGTTCATAGAGTTCTCAACTAGAGGTCAAAGACTTTGTTCAATGTGGATTGACTTACACAGAGGCAGAATAACAAGCTCCATCTTTGGACAAGTTCTTAGGGCTGGAAGTAGTCCAAATAGTTTGATAAATAATATCATTGAAGGATCAAGTCTCCACAAGTGAGTAATTCATTTTAATTCTAAAACACTCATTTCTCCTTAATTTCTCAAGAAGTTCTAAGGAAAATGAACTGTTATTGTTGTAAAACATCATTACAGAATTTCATTATTATGTGAATCAATGTTGTGGAATACATGTACACCTAATAGTTATTGTAATTGAGTAAGTAATTGATACTGTGAATAGAATCCCTTTCTTTTTTTCTTTGTATTTTTCACCTAAACTGAAATTTTATATACAAATACATGTACCTATTCTTACAGATACAGTTCATTACCCCCTGCTGTGAAGTGGGGCCAGGAGCATGAAAATGAAGCAAAACAACAATACATTGCACTAAAATCAGTGTTTGGAGATGTAGTTGTGGAGGAAACAGGTCTGACCTTGTGTGCCTCTCATTCTTTTCTTGGGGCATCAAGTGATGGAAAAGTCCGTGATGCAGGAGATGAAGGTGTGCTTGAAATTAAATGTCCATTCTCCCTAAAAGGAAAGGCAGTGAATAAGATGGAAATTCAGGAAATTGTCACTCTCTCGGATCCTACGTTTTGCCTTGTGCAGGGAAACGATGGGCCAAAGCTAAGACATGACCATGACTATTACGCTCAAGTGCAAGGGGAGATGGCACTTATGGGTCTCCCTTGGTGTGACTTCGTTGTTTGGACTAATGCAAAATGTGGAAATATTTTCATTGAAAGAATTCTCTTTGATGCAGACTATGTAACTCGCATGATGCCAAAGCTTATTGCTTTCTATGTAGAAAATGTCATTCCAAAACTAGCTTTATGAATTTATAATTTTGATGGCAACACAATAAAAGTGGTTAATTTTATGTGCTCTTTGGCTTGGAGATTGATGCCTCACTTTGAGGCACCCTTTTCACTTTAAATTACAAATCAGACTTAATTAAGAGTTACATAGATTTTATTATTCTTAACATGAACTGACTATTAAAGGCAAATATTTAAAAATGTGGCTTAAAATAACAACAGTTGACTATGGTATAACTCAATAGATAATTCTACAGTGTCATTCTATTACATGTAATTCATGTGTATAATACATGCTCATAAATATAACTGAGGTATAATGCAACAAACAATTCAACAGTGACACTATATACCATCATTTTATACAATCTCATGTTCATAAATATATTATTCATGGATTTGATCATGTGACCAAGCTGTATTTATATATCACAAGATGTTTATATATAATACCTTTTTTCTCAGATAAGGCCAATCTTAGTTTTTTCTATGTTTAGCGTCTGCATGCGCCTTGGTTTTTTACACCCCATATCAGAAAAACAAACAAAATCAGGGTCCTGAAATTGATTATTCTGGTCGAAATCTTTGAATTCTGTCAATTTCTCTAAATATTTGTCTACAATATGTCATATTAGATATATTTGAAGCATTTAATACATTGATTTTACTAAAGAATAGATCTGTCTACAAGAAAAATAGATTAATGAAATCAAATCCTTTGAATGACATCATTTTTATGACTATAAAGTCTGTGTTTTATATTTTGGATTGTGTGTTTTTTGCAAATAGGTAGGTAGGTTTTTGAAAGATGAGTGGACACTTAACAGAGAAAAAACCTGGAATGGCCTAATACAGTTTTCACAGCAGTAAATGAAACTGAATATTTGATTCACAAAATTGTTTGATGGTCATTCGTGCACATAAAATGTACATTACACAAAATGATCTCAATAAGAGTTACTTTGGCACAATCTGCACATCAAAATTTGATAACCAGCATGCAACCTTAAACAACTTTGTGGCCAGGGGTGCAAGAGAAAGGGGCAGAACTCTATCAAAAATATGAAATTTTTTTACACGCCCAATACTTCTCTCCACATGGATGCAGAGTTCTGCAATTTCTTGGGTCTCAAATAAATGATCAGTTGAAAACTGTGCTGATGAGCCCATGAAAGGAGGGATATTCAAGTGACATTTTCTCTCAAGTAAAGCTTCTCTGATCGTAAACCCCTTATCTGCCATCACACTGTCATTTTCCTGCAATAAATCTAACAGTCCACTCTTAATAGTTATCTGTTTATCTGGAACACGGCCACCCCATCCTTCAGATACAAATGAGATCACACCCGAAGGAGTAATACCTATGAGGAACTTGAAGGTGGTATGGTGTTTGTAATTGGAAAATGTTGCATTTTGGTTAACTAGACTACTAGATCTCTGGACAAAAATTTCAGTGCAATCTAATATCACTCTAACAGAGGGATACTTTTTCTTAAAAATTGCTGGCATGGTTAGATCTACAATTTCCCTGGATGGAAAAGGATTCAAAATTTTGAGTTCTTCATGTAACAGACAAACCCATGTTGTGAAATACTTTGAATATGTGCCTACTGAGACCCCAACTCTATTTGCTATGTCTTGGGTGAACAACCCAAGTCGCAGTCTGGCTAGTACAGCAAACAGTTGATCTATTAACTTCAAGGAACCAGTACTCGCTCTTGTCCTCTCTTGGTTTCCTGTCTTAGAAGGACCAGTCCAGTATACCATCCTCTCCGCCTTAGGCTTCAAAAAACTGTAAAGGAATTTTATATATATATATATATATATATATATATATATATATATATATATATATATATATATATATATATATATATATATATATATATATATATATATATATATATATATATATATACCGTATATACTCGCCTATAAGTCGGTTTTTTGGGAGTTAAACTTTGGTCCAAAACTCTATGTCCGACTTATAGGCGAGTTATAAAAAGATTGCTATTTTAGAGGGTCAAGCCCTCTAATATAAGCTTAAAAAATACAACCGACTTATAGGCAGACCGACTTATATGCGAGTATATACGGTATATATATATATATATATATATATATATATATATATATATATATATATATATATATATATATATATATATACATCACTTGTCAATGTTCAGCTTATGTTGTCATTTTCAACAATATTTCTTTTTAAATCTCTTGTATGTACAAAACACTTGTTTTGTTATGTTATGTTCTTCAATAAATTAAAAGCATACTTAAACAGCCAAAGAAAAACAGCATAAGTTGGTAGTCCAGTGTAAAATTTGGTTTTCTCATCATTGTCTTTGATTTTATCTGTATTCCACCGGGCACTCTGCAAGTCTTTGGAGCATTTCTGTGTAAGTTGTTTACACTCTGTGTACACTGGATCTGGATCATTTTGTACGCCTAGAAAACAATACACTGAATACACTACCAGTGTAGGTATGCTGTACACTAACATGCTAAAAGCATCAATTTTTATTTTTCTATAAAATAGAAATAGACATAATGTGATAGAGGTGAACATTTATTTTAAATATCATTTTTATATCACTTAATATAGGAATTGTTTTATGTCTGTGCAGAAGTACTTCAATCATATCATCCATAATACATGTATTATACAATGTACTAGCTGCAATAATGTAGCCCTCTCCGATTTTTTTTAATCTGATATTTTCAGGACCTCTCAAAAAAAAAAAAAAAAAAAAAAAAAAAAAAAATCGGAGAGGGCTACATTATTGCAGCTAGTATTATACATGTTTTGTTACTTTTCCCTTATAAAACACATTCTAAGCGAGGCATATTAAAATCTGTGTAAAAACAGGTTTGCCTTGTGTCCTTAAATTCATTGTCCAGTCAGAAACGATTGATGAAATCACAAATGGTAGATGAGTTCAACACACACAATTCATACCGTTTGAAAAAATTAAATCATTTTATGGGTTTAAAGCTGTAATACCAAAATATTTGTTCTAAAAATGGTCACAAATGTAAATGTAAGTAATAAGTACAGTCACTTGATTTGGTAATAAATTTTTCAACCCATATTATAATAACAACATAATTATTATACTATGGGTTAAAAATTTATTACCAAATCAAGTGCCTGTGGTAATAAGGTATTATTTTAAAACTTTTATCAGAATGTAAATATGGGTTGGTCATGTGATTAAATCTATTATACAGCCCTCGGGCCCAAAGGGATTTGATCACATGACTAACCCCTATTTACATCCCAATAAAAGTTTTAAAATGAAACCTTATTTTTTAAAATAAATGCATCTTTAAAAAAAACAGAGTATTTTTATGATGAACAGTTACATTGACACCATTGGTACATCAGTGAATATTTAAATTGAATATTGCAATATGAATATTTAAGAAAAAATGTTAAAAAAGATTGAGGAAAAGAGAACTTATGTATTAAGCACAGATTTTAGTGCTATCTCACCATGATCAGAAAATGATTTTATGTCAGTGTCATCTAAGTTTACAATCTCCGTTGTTATGTCATTGCTTCTGTTGTCTCCTTCTGCTGTAGGTGGCAAACTGTAGTCATTTACCATCAAAGAGAAGGCATGATGCTTTTGTAACATTTTCTCCTTTGTCTTCTCTGCTTCAGCCATTTCCTACATCAATATGAGCATTTCCTTTAACGTATTTAACATATACACATATAGTTGTAATGTTTGATATTTGAAATTACATGAAATACTTAATATACTGTATGTGTTATAAACATTTTCCTCAAAAACTCAGTTTAAAATATATCCAAGAATAAGAAAAACATTTTTTGATAAATACTTAGCATAAAATATGTCAAAATTTCATTAAAAACCTGCTTAGTGTATTTCTTTTTGTCTTACCATGGAATATCATTTGACTATATATACAGCTGCTCTGTAGTTAGGGGAAGTAGTCCAATCAAATAAAGAAAGAATAATGAACAACTGAAAAAAAAATAATATTTTGAAAAAAATCCAGTAAATTAAATTATGGAAAAAAATCAAATGTAAACATATATATAACAGTTACATTTTGTATATGCATGCAATGAACATTAAAAATTAACATACTTAAAAAAAACAAACTAAATTATAAATTCAAATGCCAAGAAAGAAAATTTACATAAAAATTAAGTAAAACTAATGTGAAAAATCATAAATCATAGTGCAATTCTTCATAGAAATGGGGGGGGGGGGCTGTTTGGTTCCCCACTAGAATGCTGATTATCCTTTCAATTCATTTACCTGTTCAAGATTTCTCCGGTGTTGTCTTTGAGTCCGTGCTTCCTCTCCTGATGTAGGGATTTTTTCTTTATAAGAAAAAATAGTGGGCCTAAAGTTGTCCGGGTCGTCACTATGCCACCCTCCCTCGAAATGAGTAGAGCACACATAACTGGCCTCGGTTGGTAGCCATTTGTCTCTGTGGACAGCATTTATCCAGGCTTTTCGCTTTTTTTTATCTTTTGGAAATCTAAAAAAACTTATCCCCCTTTCTTTGCTTTTTGTGTCCGCCTTATTGTGGCACTTGTAAACAACGCACGAGGGAACCATTGTGGGCGTTTGTTGTCAAAGACGCTTTCCTCGCGGAAGTATTTATACGCATGCGCGAGTTTCAGGACTGGAGTTAATGCGAAAAACCTTATTAACATTTAAAAATTCACATCTATAAATGGTGAATTCATGCTATAAATTCATTGGCTAATAGAAAAATGGTAGGTCATCAATGTGTCTTAGTAATTCAATAGCTGAGTTTTGATTATCATCAGTGGATTTTTGTATTCTGAGTAAACAAGTACTTTAAAGGTTTGTACATTATCCATGTAATGGATTATAGGGGATTCATTTCCCCCCCCCCCCCCCCCACTTTTTGATGTATTATTTGGATTCAAAGTTATTATCTTTTAAATTCTGAGTTATTTATGTGTAAATTCTAAAATGCAGATATGAAAAACTCTAGAATTTATTATTATTTTTTTTTTGTATTTTCGGAGGAGTTTTTAGGTATTTTATGAGTAGCGCTAACTGTGTTCTTGAAATCTTTGATGTGAAAATTTGACAAACTTTGACTTTCAATTTTTACTAGCAGTTTTTTTTATATTTTGTTAACATAATCATCCTAAATAATAAGCAATAAAATTTACTGGATTAAAATATCGGCTTTGGTTGTTAGAGTTATTTCAATTCTACAGAAAAATGTCACTTTTTTTCAAAAATTGGAACAGTGCCAATTTTATGACCTTTTTGCACTAAAACAAAATGGATGTCAATCATCCTGACTATGCATCTAAGAAGACCTAACCTTCGTTCTTTTACTACAAAATAAAATCATTGAATAATTTCTAGACTTGCAATTTTATTTCTCCTCTAAATATGACTAAAAAATAAAAATATTACCTCAAATTTTGTTGCATAAGAGCTATTTTTAGTAACAGGCCATACAACTTATACGGGTTTGATTAGCACGATAAAAATTTGTCTGATTTCTATTTATGCATACTAGATTTCGCTCACAAAGTTTGAAGGCAATCAGAGAAACTTGCTTCCGGACCATTTTGCATGATCTTCTCTGAGAAATGCTGTTAAGAACAACCCGAATACACGTTTTACTTGCAATATGCCATTTTATTGCAGCTGCTCCATGGAGTTAAAAATGACACTTGTGCTTGAAAAAAAAAAATGATATGTCATTTAGTGAACATGCAATCTCATGAAATCTAAATATTTGATTCTCGATTTGAATACGATTTTCGTGTATACTCACACGTATTGATGTATACGGAGAAATTTGGATTTATGATCTTTACTTTGGGTTCAAACATATTTGATTTGCATTTGAGAACATTTACCCTTCGCTATAAGTTCCCATACGGGGCATCAGTGTTTCACAAACACATCCTGTTTTCTTATTAAAAAAAGGTTCATGTCATTCTTTTCACATAAATTAATATAGTACTAAAATCCTGTTCTTCAATCTGCCTTAGTAACGATTATTATTCGATGATTTTTAAAGATTCAGTTTGCACATGTCATATTTGTAACATATTCTACATATTTAATGACTGTCGGCATTTCTCTCAGCTCCTCTTTTCTTTTGAATTTCCTCTTCCGCCATTGTTAACCTGTCATTGAATTTTTCTAAGTCACTTTTTAGATTTCCAATATTTGCATTTGTATTTTGAATGTCACCTTTTGTAGCCATGTTTGACTGCACTACAGTAAGCTGCTGAGTTATCGACCAAAGTAAACTCCGAAGTTCTTCCGAGTCTGTTGGTTGATTGCTGGTTGGTACAGAAAATTTCGAGAAACAGTCATATTTAAGATCAAGAGCATCAAGGACTTTGTCTATCGGCGTCATGAGGCATGCTCCATATGACGTCATAGCCACAACTATTCCTATACATTTTAAAACAATGGGATTATCGTTACAAATGGTAAAAACAAGAGCACCGGAATCTCCACTTCTTACAAAAGGTTGATGTGAATCAGACGACTGGGATGGATCTATTCTTGGTAGAACCTCTAACTGTCCAAAAAGTCGAGTTCGAAATAATCCATCGACATCAATATCGTAGTCGTCGATAATCTGAGCGCAGCTTCTTCCTGTTCTCAACCAACCTAGGGTTATTCCACTAGAGGCACCAACTTTTATAACTTGTTTCCGAAAATTGAATGTAGAGATCTGTTCAATTTGACCATTCGAAAAATGTGGTCCTTGAGCACTCGAGAAACCTGTCGAAGAGTAAAAAAAAAAATGCATTATTATTTTTTTTTTTTGCGTGTCTTGTATTCAACTATTCTATGCACATTCAGATAGTGAATAAGTACTACCATAGAATTGTGCAGGCTACTGGATATCATCTCCTTCGGTACATCGCTCCAAAGCAGGAGCTTTTTGAGATTATGCCTATGTGTAACTTACAATATGTGTTCTGCTTTTGATAATCTTTTGATTTTATGTTCCCATCATAGAAGAACCCAGAGCATACAGTTTTTGGTCTGTCCGTCTCTCTGTTTGTCTGTTAATCTGTTTGTCTATTGTCCGCAAGAACTTTAACCTTGTGGTCTACTAAAACATGTAGATACACACAAAGGAAGGGCCATCAATTGTAACTTTTTTATGTTAAAATTGCACTGAGAAAAGATGAACAGATTTCCTGCAAAGGAAGTCCAAATACCGCCCCCGGTTAATTTTCTTGTACCTGGCAACGCTGCTGCAAATAAGCATAGATAAATAAATGAAATTCTGAAGAAAAGAAAGTTTACAGAGCTTTACCATCCCCCATATTTGCTAGATCTCAGCCATTGTGAGATCCTTTTATTCTAAAAATACACGAAAACAATCAAAGAAAGATTGTACAATATTAGATATGTCAGGGAAAGTTATATTCATCAGAATCTTTGGGAGGACCCTAAAAATAGGTTTGCTGAGGTTTTCTGGACATGGATACAAAGACTTAAGACATGTGTAAAGGATAACAGTGAATGCCTTGGGGGATTGAAAATGTTTAGAATATATATATATATATATATATATATATATATATATATATATATATATATATATATATATATATATATATATATATATATATATATATATATATATAAAATTTAGTTGTGACTTTTATTTTCTAAATTTTACCTACCTGCTCCATTTAATTGATTAACTGAAAAGACGTCAGCAAAATTTCCATCACAAGGATATCTACGTGTATCTGTGATCTCAACGATGGCTGCATCAACACTGACCTCTGCGTCTTGTTCATGATTAAAAACTGCTTTTGTAAGTCTGCCAATTTCTCTCATTTCTTTATCAAACACCCTTATTTCCCTCCTTCGGGCATATTCACTTGCCGTTTTGCTTTTCAATACTTTCGTTGGTAGAACAACGTGTGCACATGTTATGAATGACTTACCACGTTGAATGTCAATAAATCCTCCAAGTGTCCCTGACTTAGTACATTCTTCTGCAGAGATTTGTTCACTTATTCGCATTTTTTCCACAGCGAATGCACATATTCCTTCTCTCACATCAACTGTGAAACCATTTATTTCCTCTGGGAACATTTGTTCGCCTAATGGTATCACACCTTTCACTTGACAGTAAATTACAATGGTTGGAGTTCTTTGTATATGAAAGCTTTGCGTATTATAGCCACATGAACGAATCCTAGAAGAATTAATCATAGTGATATTACTGTGTTTATTCATTAAGTCGGATATTTCGTTTTCGGACAAAGACACAGCTGTTTCAGTAGGTTCCTCTGCCTCATGTTGAAGTACTCTCTGAGCTTCTGTGTTGCAATCATTTTTTGATACTACGACAAGATGAAATTCGCAAAAGGATCTGTCTGTGACCTGCTGTGTATTTTGTTCCACAATAAAGACAACAGTATCGAAGCGCAACATTTCTGGGGTATATTCCTTAAACATAAATTTATAATCAGAAGGTACTTTATTTCCTAACCATATTTTTAAAACTTTGAACTTTTCTTTGTATATCTTGTAAAATTCTCTTTTTAAAAAGCCCTTCATTGTGTCTCTAATTTGTTGATCGGAATTTTCCGTGCACAAAATTTCACATAGACCTTTTATTTCTTTTTTTCTTGCAAGCATCAAAT